CTCTTCTTCCTCTGTTGTTCGACATTTTGTTCACAATCACCATTTTTCTCTTTCAAACTCACGATTTCAACAAATCTTCTACATCTCTACTCGTTTTTGGCTTTCAATCTCGTCTATCTCTTTGATTCCGACCCATCCTCATCACACTAACAAGGTATGATCTCTTTAATCTCATCTCCTCCATGGAATTGCTAAGATTTGGCTCAAGCACAAAACTCTTGGAATTGATTGATTAATGCTCGATTTTTCAATATTATGCTTGTTCCTTGTTGTTTGTAGCTTGGGTAAACGATTTCCATAGCTTATTTACCAATTTCCATGATAAATTTGAGATTTTAGAAAGTTAGGGTTTAAAGCCTTGATTTGTGACGAGTTTGATGCAATATTTGGGGAAAATCAATTGTCTTGATGAATTAGTGTGAGTTATTGTCTATGATTATGGCATTGGAAACTTTATGTTCGATTGCACACTTTTGCAAAAGAAAATTGAAGATTATTTGAACTTGATAAGTAGAGAAATTACAAGCTTGTATATGTTCGTGTTTATTCTCTCTTGCAAAGTATGTAATACTTTGAGCATATTTAACGCCTCATATATGTTTACAATGATTTTCTTTAGGTACCACACTTGAAAATGGTACGTCAACGAAGAGAAAATACGAACGATGAAAGTGAGAAAGAACAATCTCGAGCGATCACTTCCACTAAGAAAAATGATGATGGAGCTAGCTCTAGTAACAAAAAGGGGAAATCAAAGAAAGTGGTTCCTAAGGTAAAAGTTACGGTGCCCCCTTACACGACTTATCTCAAGGCGCTTCAAAAGTGTGACATGGTCCCAACCAAATATGTGGATAAAGAACTTCTTGGTCAACTTGGAATTCTCGATGATGTGGAAGCAATCATGAACAACATGGGGTTTGACTACATTCTTCACAAAGGAATATCCATCTTACAAGAATCCCACTCTCCAATTCCTTGCATCCATAGCGGTGACGGTCAATTACCAAACTCGGAAACCTGAGACTCTTGGAAAAATTGATTTCAAGATTGAAAGAAAACCCTACACGGTCACATTCCAAGAACTATGCAAGATATTTGACTTTCAAAGCGGAAACTATTGGCGCTTGATGACTTCCACGGAACCGGCACGTATTTGGTCTCTCATTGCAACCGGTGAATTCTCTAAGGGAGTATCAAATTCAT